TCCCCTTAGCTGGAAAATCTCTAAAAGACGCTGCCTGCCCTGATCTCTTGGCAGACCTTCCTCTGAGCCACACACACCAGTCTTCCTCTCCTGCCTGTGTTTGGCTCCTCTCTTTCCCTTCCTCTAATCCCACCTACTCTCTAACTCTCCTACTGTACAGGGGATGGTGCCTCATATTGTCTGTCTTTCGGTCATAGCTTTTTGTTCTCCCCGCACCCTCGCCCAAATGGTAGACAACTGGTACACAGTAGACAGAAGTGAGTCGCAGGTGAGCAAAGGTAAGGAGCGGTAGGGAGCAGCCGCTTTCATCCAGTCTTTCCTTCCTCCCTGTCCCGCCCCAGCTCGTTCCCAAGAAACTGTTGGAGAAGTGACTATCTATCCCCCATTCTGCCCAGATCTTCAGGGAGGACTTGCTCTGCTCCGCAAAGTGAAGGAGGCTTCTCAGCTCCTCTCTTTTCCCTCCCAAGGTTCCTCTGTGTTCCACTGTGGCCCCTCCTCCTTTCTCTGATTGGCACTTCTGTGCTGTGCACATATGGATGGTGACATTCTTTTCCCATTTCCAATTCCACGGTAGTTTCTCGTGGCTCTTTAATACAGACAGTCCACGTCCAGGTGGGAAAGATGGTAACTACAGGACAGTCCTTCCTGGAGGCTTGGTTCTACTGCATTCCTCTCCTTTCCTGGCCTAACCTGTCCCTGTTTCCATCTAACTCGAGCCTCTCCCTTCCATGCCTTCAACTATTCAGAATGGTTCCTGGTCATCTGCTGACCACTGGCCTTTCTGATTAACACCAATCTGCAGATCCTCACTATAAAGCTTCAACTAACACATACCAGCTCCCCCTGACCGCCCCTTCTCTCAGCTGCTCTGCACCCCCTGTCCTGCAGTGCATGAAGGCCCCTCTTAAGCCACACATGCCCCATGATCTGGAGTGAAGTCTGAGGACACCACTTAACTTGTTCTGACCACTTGCTGAGGAGCCGTGTAAGGATGGGGGTCAGAGGCTTCCAAAGAGAATGCCCACCTGTGTTAGAGGCAGGCTGGAGAAGGAGTGGGAAATTGACAGGAGAGAGGTAGGTGTGGAGAGAAGCTCTTCACTTGGTCTTCACCTTCCTTTCTGTGGATGGGCAATGAGGACCAGACTCAGAGACCCAGCGTTCCAGGCCTAACCCTGCTACCTCACTAACATTCAACCTTGGGTAAACTGGAATCCGGCTGTCTTAAGTGTTAAGTCCAAATAATAATCAGAGAGTTTGGAAGATTAAATAATTAAATGAGATAGCACACCTTAATACATGCTAAGGATTTTACCAGCATCCCGAATTTCTAACACTTTCTCTCCTTTCTCTCCTACTGCAACACCCTAAACCCTTTGCCTTTACCATCTAACAAAACTCCCACCCTGTGGCAGACTTGCCAAGACCCTTCCATCCTGAACTAACACCCCAGGCTTCTGGAGTGCCAGGAGCCTTCAGATCACCCTGTCTCACCCAGCCAGAAAGCCATCATGGCCAGGAAATGGCTCCTTCCTTCTCTGGCCAGGTCCTTGCTTGGCTTCCTCAAGCTCCTTGAATGTTTGTGCTGTCAATTCCAAATAAGAGCGTTTTCTATGATGTCTGAGCGATGCCAAGCTGCTGGCTCAGTTTGCCAGCGAGCGAGAATGTGAGGGATGGGCAACAGAAGGAGAAGAAGCCAGACTTGTCTAGTTTACCCTCCAGCATCACCAAAGCCACCCTTCCCCGGCAGAACTGTTTGGCCACCTTGGGTCTATGTGTTTATCTAGGCATGCTCTCAAAGGGGACATGCTTCAACTCAGTCACCTCTTCCGTTCTGTGAAAGTCAGAGGCCTTAAAGCCAGCCCCACAGCACTCAAGGCCTTTCTACACGCCAAGCCCTTCACCCCCGCTGTCCACCAAGATGGCCCCAGCCAGGAGACTGGACCCCTGTATCTGGGTATGTTCAGTCTGGATTTATCTCTGCCTAGTGCACCACCCTGATTCAAAAGCAGCCAGGAAGCAGCCCTGCTGGGGGTTGGAGGTAGCCTTCATCTTCATAGGAGACAGACCAGGCTAACTGATTAGTAGCTAATTCTAAGACACTGAACAATCTCACTCTTTCTTTCTCCTTCCCTCCCTCCATCCTTCCCTCCCCCAGAACTTCTTGTTTGTTTGTTTTTTTTTTTTGTTTTTTTTTTTTTTTGAGACAGGGTTTCTCTGTGGTTTTGGAGCCTGTCCTGGAACTAGCTCTTGTAGACCAGGCTGGTCTCAAACTCACAGAGATCCGCCTGCCTCTGCCTCCTGAGTGCTGGGATTAAAGGTGTGCGCCACCACCGCCCAGCTCCCCAGAACTTCTTGAGTAGTAGAAAGGCTCCAAGATCATGAAGACTGAACAGGATGCTCAGTACTGACATGTCGTCACCAGACCTGGTCTCAGGCAGACCTCCCTCCTCTCTGGTCCCCACTGGTCTCACCAGTACTGGGAAGCCTTTGGAAGGGCAGTCCTCTGTAGACATGTCCAGCATCTAACCAGCATCATGACCGCCATTCTCTTCCTCTCTCTTTCCTTCTCTTGACCTCATCTCTCTTCCCTTCCAGTTGCATTCTTATTAATTTATCTACCTTAGTCTTTGAATTATAATCTGTTTACAACTTCTTTTACTCCAGATTATAGGTAAATAAAAACTATAAGAATCTACTCTTTCTGCTCAGAATTCTTCCAGAACATGTTCCAGTCCCCAGGCCCACCCACGTTAAGGAAATCAGTACTGGCAGCTTCTAGGCCAATTGTGGAAGCCACCCTTGGCCACCTACAGGCCAGACCATAAGAAGACTCTAGGAAATGGGCAGGGTGACACTAGGGAGAGAAGACACACACACACACACACACACACACACAGAGAGAGAGAGAGAGAGAGAGAGAGAGAGAGAGAGAGAACATCTCACTTTGGATTTCGTTCCTCTCCACTTGCTGAGGTCTTTCATTTCTGGAGCTCTTTCTTAGATCCCAAAGATTGACCCTTACCACCGAGTAGAAAGAGATGCCCCTTAGCAAAGGACATGAACAGTGACACCTCCCTTTCCCCCAGCAGCCCCTTTGCAGCTCTCCCAAATGAAACCTACTCCTCTATTTCTAAAAAATTCCATTTTTCAAAGTTTGCTGGCCTATATGGCTCAGAAACTGAAAAGGGGAAACCCCAAAATTGACCCAAGGACTATCAGCCTGGCCTGACACCTCCACCAGCTACCACAGGACCATGCTACAAGACTGAGGCCCATGCCCCTCTCCTTCCACTTCAATACATCAGCCTAGAACTCTGCCTTCAGAAGAGCAAGGGCACCAGCAACGAGCGTGTCCTCTGGACGCTCACCTGGGCACCTCAGCAGACCTGTTCCCCAGGCTTTCAATGCCATCTCCATCCACCCTCATCTTGCGTATCTGTATTAACACTGCCAGAGTCTGGAACCTCCCACAACTCACAAATGTCTGAGACACGCATAAAGACACACACACACGGATTCTCAAACAACCACTTCTCATGTCTAGCTTCTGCTGAAACCCAGGACCCTGTTCATACACATTTGATCCCTTCCACCTTGCCTGGTCCTAACCACACTATCCTTGTCCCAGCATTGATCTTCAGGAGAGAAGTTCTGGCCATCCTCCTCCCATGCGGCCCTGAGCAGGGGAACTGGCCCCTTCAGAGGAGCTCACATAATCATGAGGGGCTGGCCACCTGGTCTCAAGCCTGCCATTGGAGCAGAAGAGAGCAATTCTCCCCAGGACGTTTCTCTCTACTAGATTAGAAAAGTTTTTGTACTATCATCCAAGAGGTCTGTGTGGGTCTCAGGCTAGGCCAACGAACTGCTGACCCTTGACCTCTGACCTTCATGTGGGAAGCGTCTCTACTTTGTCACACTTTCCCTGTTGATCCACCCTTCAGAGTGAGCACAGCTGAGAAAACTGGGCACCTGGAAAGGTGGTGAGGGACTGCAACCTGCATCGCGTGGTCTGGGCAGCCGTCTCACCCCTGTGCCCCCAGCCCTGCCCGGCAGGCCCCACCTCTGCATTACCTCTGACCTCCAGCACTGTGAGCGCAGCCTCGCAGGAGGCCTGGCCCCGCTCATTCTGGGCACTGCAGCTGTACACGCCGGCGTCCTGTGGCCCGCAGCTCCGCAGCCACAGGCAGCTGGGCTCTGGGGCCGGTGTGGGCAAGAGCTGCCCATCCCGGAACCAGCTGAGGCTAGGCTCGGGTGTCCCGCTCACTACCACCCGCAGCCGTACATCATTGCCCGCACACACCGCCGCGTTCTTCAGGGGCCGCAGGAAGACCGGCGCCCCGGCCCCTGCCCCGGTGGAGTGGACCCTTCTGCCGGCCCCCACCTTGGCTCTCTTCGGGGGCACCCCGGGGCTGGGAGGTGCCCTCGTGCCGGCGTCCTCGCCTCGCGTGCCCCGGCCTTTCTGCATGTCCTCTGTGAGCTGGACTAGGGGTGTCTGGGGACGCTAGAACTGGCTGGCCAGGAGGACGCCCTGGGGGGTATGGTGCCTTAGGAGATGGGTCCTGTGGGGCCGGCGGCCGGCCTTCCTGCTGCCTGCCCGCCTTCGGCCTGTGCTACCCAGAAGGTCACCAGGGCCGCCCGCGGTTGCGCCTCGGGGACTATTTTTAGGCCCCCCGGCTCGGGTTGCGAATGAGCAGTGGAGGGAGGGGGCAGCAGAGGAGGGGACTTGGACTCCCTGTGGCTCCTTCTCTCTCTCCCAGTGCCCCCATCGGCAGCGCTGGCCTAAAAGAATCTCCTCCCCCACAGTATGTCTGTCCTCCTCCCCCCAGCCTGCGTGAGCTGGGGAGTTGAGTTACCCCTGGGCTCAGGCCCACTTCCTTTCTTCAGCCCCAGCGCCCCAGCCTCACTAGGCTGCTGGAGAGGAAGAGGAAAGGTCCAGAGGAGATGTCTGAGAGGTTCATGGAGGGACAGGCCCCAGTGGAGTGAGCAGAGGGACCAGTGGGCTCTCCTATCACCTCCATTACAGCGGGTAAGCACCAAGAGCCAGACCCTGGAATTCGGGTGGATTTTTGGCCCCTAGTTGGTCCTGCACTCACTACCACCACCACCCCACCTTCGCCGGCCAGGTCACTGCCAATCCTCTCACAATCTGCTCTCACCTGTGGAAGAGGCTAGGATTGTAACCAGCAGCAAGGTTGCGAGGGCAGTGGAGACTGAGGGACAGCATGAGGAGAACGGGGTAGAAGAGGGGTTTGGAGGGCTTGCTGTGTGGATGAGGGCAAAATCTTTGATCATTAAGGACTCCATTCCAAAGGCAGGAAGCGCTGTGACTGACTGCAAGCTGAGTAGATGATTCCCTTGTCCAAACTTGTGAAGGTTTGATACCTGCATATGCACACCCAACATACACACACACACACACACACACACACACACACACACGCAGGTGCCCAGGCCAATAGACACAGATTGCAGTCCCTCGCCATCTTCCCAGGTGCCCAGTTTTCTCAGCTGTGCAAATCTGAAGGGCACATCAACAGGGCAGGGCAGGGAAAGTATCAAGGCAGAGAGGCTTCCCACACGGAGGTCAGAGGTCAAGGGTTAGCAGTTAGTGGGTCTAGCCTGAGACCCATACAGACTTCTTGGACAATAGTATAGAAGCTCTCCTAGTCCAGGAGAGAGAATCCCCCTGGGGAGACACACATGTAAACATGAGTACATACAAAACCAGTAGATCTGATAAGATGGACATACCAGGCCACTGTCACTGTCTTGGTATTTATACAGGATGTCACCAACTGGAAATACCCAAGTGAAGTGTCCACAGGAGCTTTCTCTGTGTTATTTCTGACAGCAGCATATTAATTTACATTTCAAAAGAGCAACAAAAGAATATATAGGATATAGGATCTGGGGAGAACCTCAGTATTAGAGGGCTTGCATAGGACTTCTGAGACCCTCAGTTCCATCTGCAGACACACACACACACACACACACACACACACCCCTTTAGAGATCCAGACCTGACCTTGAGCTCTAAAGGGATGAACCCTGGGAAGAGTTGAAAGCCACGGTCGTTCAGAGATGGAGGGGGGAAGCATTCTTTTTTTTTTTTTTTTTTTTTTTAAATAATTTTTTTTTATTAAGAAAAGAAGAAAAAAAAACATAAACAAAAAACAAGTTTCCACCTCCTCCCAGCCTCCCATTTCCCTCCCCCTCCTCCCACCCTTCTCCCCCTCCTCCCACCCTTCTCCCCCTCCCCCCACTCCTCTCCCCCTCCCTCTCCAGTCCACAGAGCAGTCCAGGTTCCCTGCCCTGTGGTAAGTCCTAGGTCCTTCCCCCTCCGTCCATATCTAGGAAGGTGAACATCCAAACTGGCTAGGCTCTTTGCTGGAGAGGCTGTGGAGGAACGGGTACCCTCATCCATTGCTGGTGGGAATGCCATCTTGTGCAACCACTGTGGAAGTCAGTGTTTCGGTTTCTCAGGAAATTCGGGATCAACTTACCCCTGGACCCAGCAATACCACTCCTGGGAATATACCCAAGAGATGCTCTATCATATGACAAAAGCATTTGTTCAACTATGTTCATAGCTGTATTATTTGTAATAGCCAGAACCTGGAAACAACCTAGATGCCCTTCAATGGAAGAATGGATGGGGGAAGCATTCTTGACATGTTGTTTGGATAAATAAACAATCTTCATTCTGGGAAACGGAAGTCAAAGTGTGCATTGTGCAGGTGTGCAGAGGGCGTGGGCATGCATGTGTGCAACGGTGCCTGTGAGCGTGAGCATGCATTCCCAGGCGCACGGTACAGAGGAAACAATTTAAACGCTGAATTATGTCCATAAAGATTAAGTGCCTTAGGGAATGACTTTTCATGTAGTTCGCATACATTAAAGCCGGCTCTTTGTGATGTGCAGTTCCCTGGGTTTTGATAAATGCATGAAATTGTGTATTTGCTACCCCAGGAACATACAAAGCGGTTCCATCACCCTAAATATTCACGTGTGCATCCTCTTTGTCGTCAGCCACACCCTGTCTACCAGTCCCCGGCAACCTCCAATGATGAATTGAATTCTACGGTGTAAGTTGAATTCTAAAAAGGGTTTTAAAGATGTGGGAGACAGCATAATACACAGAACCCCAAGAACAAAGGAATAGACAATGTTTCATCTTGTTTTTAAGTTTGCAGTCAGCAGAGGAGGATGGCTCAGGGGTAAAGTGCTTATTGTGTGAGTCGGAGGGTGGGTGTTCAGGGCTCCAGCAGCCACATAGAGAGTCCAGGTACAGCGACATGTATCTTTACCTTAGTGTTAAGGGGGAGACACAGGTTGGTCCTTGGGGCTCCCTAGCCAGCCAGCCAATCTACCTGAATTAGGACATTCCAGATTCAGACAGAGATCCTATCTTAAAGTGAAGATGAAAAGCAATAAGAGAAGTCACTCCACACCAACTTCTGGCCTCTACGCATGCATGCATGGGTGGTACACCTGCATGCCACACCTTCCACACATACACAAAACCCACCACCCAAAGCCATTTAGCTAACACCATGCCTCACCGTACAGGGAATGCAGCAGATGGTCCCTAAATGTTGACTGATTGGCTAGCCGGTTGGTTAAAGGAATGAACCGTGTAACTGTGAATAATCCACTTACATCTTTAAACCTCACCTATGAGTGGGGATGGCCAAACTTGGGGTGTATTTGTTCCTTCAGCAAACATTTCTTGAGTTCTTCCTATGAGGCTGGCACTATTCCATTGGCCCGGAACATAGCCGTGGACGAAACAGATAAAGATGCCAGTCCCTGGGGTTGCGTGTATCAGAGAAGACAGACATTTGACAACAGAGCAACAGAGACAGTGTGAAGACTGAGGAGAGGAATACTGCGTAGATGACTCGGCATGGAGTGGGGGATACAAACGTGGTGGAGGTGTACCTGCATGCCTGCAGTTCGAGCATTTTGAAGGCTTAGGCAGGAAGATGGGAATTCCAGATCAGCTATGGCTATACAGTGAAGGCTTGTCTCAAAAATAAATAAAATAAAATAATATAGAGTAAATGGAGTTACCTCCACAGCAACACTGGAGCCAGCCTTGAAAGAATGAGGAAAGAAAGGATGCCGTGCAGGGTCATTTCAGCCCATGTGGATGTACCTGGCGGATTCTGCACAGAGCCAGAAGACCAGCAAGACGGGAGGAAATGAATACAGAGTCAGGGTAAAATGGATCACATAGCTTGAAAAGGCCAGATGGTCTAGCATCTTGTGGGTCATGATGCTTTTATTCCCAGCAAAATGGGAAGGCATCTCTGGGTTTTGAGGGAAGAATTACACGATCTGACCTATGTTGTGATGGTATTAAATTATATTAAATATTAAAATGAATATTAACTATTTAAAAGGCCCTGGCACCGAGCCTGGAACATGGCTCGTAGTCTGACTTGTATGTCCACTCAGAGGTATACCTCGACTTGCTCCCAAGGGTCTATGGACCTGGGTAGAGAAGGCTCAGGACCCTGCTGGTCGCTGGCGCCCTCTCCTGGACCAGGCTGGCCCAGCTGAGACAATTGGAAAAGGTCAGGCTGCGGTCAGGCCAGTTGCTCAAGACAGCTGGCTGTAAGGTGTTTGTCTGTTCCTCTGCATGAGCCCCATAGCATCCTGGATCCTGGCGCCAGGCTGGGTGTTCCCGCTGCCAGAGTGCCTTGCCTTCTCATCACAAGTCTGCGGTATCATGGAAAGATAGCTGGGCTCCAGAGGCCCTGTCTCCCTCTGCTACAGATGGCTGTGTGACCTTGGCAGATAATGCCACCTCTCTGGGCCAAGGAACCTTTCATCTGCTTGTTGTTTGTTTGTTTGTTTGTTTGGAGAGGTCAACCTGGAACTTGTTATATAAAACGGTCAGGTCTTAAAATGGTGTTCCTCAACCTCTCCTGTGCTAGGAACCATTCATTGTGCCTGGCTCATCTGAGTGGTTTTTAAGATGTTGTTTTGTTGCTTTGAGGGTTTTTTTTTTTTTTTTAGATTTTATTTATTTTTGTTTATGTGTATGAGTGTTTGTGAATGTCTGTGTACCATGGGTACGCAGTACCTACAGAGGCTAGAAGAACGAATCAGATCCTCTGAGACGAGAGTTACAGGTGTTTGTAAGCTGCCCTATGGATGCTGGGAATCGAACCCTGGTTCTCTAGAAGAGCAGCCAGTGTTCTCATCTGCCGAGTCATGTCTCCAGCCCCATCGTCCAAGTCTTAATGACTTACTATGTGTTCATGGGGTGAGGGGAAATCTCAGTAAATGTCCATTGAATCGGTGAAAAAGTGAGTGTCACCAGCCCTTCCTAGTGAATATTTAATATAGAGAAAAGTAAATAAATGTGCCCAGTGGGTATTCATTCAAGAAGCATTTAAATATTTAATGAGTATCTACTGTGTACCAAGTACTCTTTGGGGTGAGGGGACATAGTAGTGAATAAAACAGACAAAAGTTGTCCCTGGGCTGCTGACATTTTTAGGTGTTGTATCAAAGGTCACTGATTCATTTGCATATTGCCCTGGTGAGCTGTGTAGAGGGATGGAGGGGGGAAAGGAGTGACCTCAGAGGGCAGGGCTGGAGTCCAGCCAGAGTGGACAGATGGGATAGGAGAGTGCCCACTGGGATCTAGCTGTCTCTACAGTCCTTCCTGCTCTCCTCTTCGGAGGGAATTGGAGCTAGCCTGAGCCTGGCCTTCAGGCTACGGGAAGCCTCTGAATGTCTGTCTGTTCCCTTCTTGCTGCACAGTCTTGTAGAATGCTCCACAGCGTCTCCAGGAACAGGGGGAGGTTTTGCCATGGAAGCAACTGGGATAAGGTGCACTAAAGAGCTGACACCAGGTACCTAACCATGAACGATGTGAACCTTCTAGGGTTTGTTTGCCCTGTTCCCTCAATCACTGCTAGCTCATGGGAACAGGCTCAGAAAATCTCTCCTCAGGATGTCAGAACCCTTTGGGTGTGGGCGTCAGCATTGGCCTCCTGTCTGAGGACAGGCAAGTGTAGTTACAGGAGGCAGGTGTGTGAAGGAAAGGCTTTCCTTCAGAGCATCCTCCATGGAGGGGTCTCTAGAGAACTGCCATGGTGGGGTAGGATGAGGTCGAGAAGGGGATTCCTACATGAGGGAAGACTGAGGTCTGATTAAGACAGGGACCCCAGTTATTTTAGGATAGCAAGGGTACTTCCCCCCCACCCCAACCTAAGCATCCTTTTGCCCTGTGTGGAACAGATGAGTGCACATTGTTTCCTCAGGTGAAGGAGAGGCCCTAAGTCTCTAGAAATTTCTTCCAGGGGGCCACTGCAGCCTCATCCACCAAGGCCAGGCCCTCAGCCCAGACATTCTCCAGGGAGGTCAGCACATCTTTGCCTTCAAAGACAGACAGCTCCTTGCTCATGCTTGCTGCTCTAGCCCTGCGTAAAGACACTGAATGTCATCCTAGTCCATGTTCTCTGGGAGGCTGATTCCATTAGAGCACTTGGATGGATCCTCCAAATGGGCCTGCTTCAGGAAAGTGGGGAACTGGTAAAAACGGGTACATCCAAAAGGAGAGGAAAGACAACACTACCCAAAAGGATTGGGGAGTTTTTGGAAAGCTCATTCAGAATGATTGGTAGGGACTTTAAGGCTAAAGCGTGAATGTGAAGCTTGTATTATTACATTAACGTCTTCTACAGTTCCTTTTTTTTTAAGGTTTATTTATTTATTATGTAGACAGTATTCTGCCTGCATATATGCTGGAAAGCCAGAAGAGGGCATAAGATCTCACTGTAGATGGTTGTGAGCCACCATGTGATTGCTGGGAATTGAACTCAGAACCTCTGGAAGAGCAGGCAGTGCTCTTAACCACTGAGCCATCTCTTCAGCCCCTACAGTTCCCTTTCATTAATAAAACTTTCTAAATCAGCGGTTCTCAACCTGTGGGTCATGACCCCTTTGAGGGTTACATATCAGATATTCTGTATATCTGATGTTTTCATTACGATTCACAGCAGTTACGAAGTAGCAACAAAGTAATATTATGGTTGGGATTCGCCACAATTCGAGGAGCTATATTAGAGGTCTCAGCGCTAAGAAGGCTGAGTTATCATGGCCTCATAATACTTATACGTGTTTTATTTTAGTTTCGCTTTTTTTCTTTCTTTTCTTTCTTTCTTTCTTTCCTTCCTTTCTTTCTTTTTTTTTTTTTTTTTTTTTTTTTTTTTTTTTTTTTTTTTGGTTTTTCGAGACAGGGTTTCTCTGTGGTTTTGGAGCCTCTCCTGGAACTAGCTCTTATAGACCAGGCTGGTCTCGAACTCACAGAGATCCGCCTGCCTCTGCCTCCCGAGTGCTGGGATTAAAGGCGTGCGCCACCACCGCCCGGCTCCTTTCTTTCTTAATAACTCCTATACACCCCTCACACTTTCCCCAACTCTCTCAAATCTTCCTTTTGTTTGTTCTTGAGTGTTGTTGTTTGGATTTGTTTTTGTTTTTTTACACAAGGGCCTCACTAGGTAGCCCAGGTTGCCCCTCCCCCCCCCAACCTGAGGTCTTCAGGCCTCTGCCTCTTGAATACCTCCTCTAGGAGTACCGGCAGCACACCTCCCCTGGCTCCCTTTGGTATTTTAATTTAGACTGCATTCCATTGGAATTGCATATGGATGAAGGATGGGTTGACATTTTCTCAGAGCGTTGAGCCTTCTTATCCAAGTAAAAATTCTGTCTGCTCTTTTTTGAACATTGTTATTTTGCCTGGACTGGGCTCTGTGCATTAAAGAGCCTTAGAAAGGGTTAAACAGTATTTGGAAGACTGAAGCAAAAGGATCAAGAGTTTAAAGTTGAACCTTGGGTACAGAGGGAGTTTGAGGCCAGTCTGGGCTGTATGAGATATTGTCTTAAAAAAAAAAAAAAAAGCAGGCGTAAGGGGCTGGCAGTTTCTTTGGGGGAAAGGACTTGGGAGCCTTGGGAGCGTCCTTCACAGCCAGTCTGTGAAAGAGAACTGTCCCCATCCCTACCTTCACCCAGATGTCCAGATGATCTGAAGGTAGGGCAGGAGGCTTCAGGAGGAGGCACTGTGACTTTTCAACAGAAGCCCCTTATCCAACCTCCCCTATACTACCATAGACTGCAGTGCCAGAAGGCCCATAGGGCAGTCTAGGTGGGCAAGAGGGTGACACAGTCCATCTCAGGGTAATGGGGGTATGACAGGGTCCAGGGCCCCCAAGAGACTCATCAGTCAAGACAGCAGGGTCGCGTAGGTTTGTGCTTGGCTCTTTATTGTCTCTGTCCAGGGCCCCTGCAGTGGGAGTGGCTGGTGCGGAAGGTGGGACCCTCCCGCCAGCCTGAGCCCACTCTCTGCCTCTCTCTTCTTTCCCCTCTAGCTCCTCACCCATCTGCTCTCCTTCTGTATCTCCTGCTCCCACATCCAGCACCTTCGGGTTCCCTCTTACAGCCCCAGCTCTTCTAGGCCCATCCTGGGCTGGGATGGGAAAGAGAGGGGCCATTTGGACATTTTTCAGCCCCCCTCTCTCCATCTCAGCTGAGAAGGCTTCACTCTTTCTCTGACCCAGGCTGGGGGTCGAATGTGGGGATGTCCATAAAGCTCTGTCCTGATCCTGCAGATCCCAACCCCCTCTCTGGTACCCTCTCCAAAGCCAAAGGCCAGAGCCTGAGGTTACGAGGGTGGGAGGGAAAGGGCCATGACTCGAGTTGGGTTCTATCTGAAGAGCCAGGATTGACAACTGCCGACAGCCAGGACTCCTGGTAAGGTCTGCAGAGGTGCCTGGGGTCTTTCCTGGGCAGTATGAAGACCACAAGGGGGTGATCAGTGAGGAGGGGGTCAGAGGCTGTGAGTGAAGGAAAGTAGTGGCTGGGTGTGGCATCCGAGAGTGGAAGAGGCTGGTTTCAGGAGGCAGTGAAGATGGGGCCAGGACAGTGTCCGGCTTAGAGCACCTCGTGTTGTTGCTGTGTGGCCTCGCTGACGACCTAAGCGGGTGGAGAAGTCCAGTCCATCCATTGCTGCCTAGGAGAAGCCTCAGCCCCATTTACTGCATCCCAAGGCAACAGGACCTTCTTACCCCATTCAGGGTAGGGAATCACCCAGCTGGTGAAAGACTCCTGGCTGGCAGACACCCCCATTACTCCCACCAAGGACAAGGGGTCCAACGGATCACTCACCTCTCCATCTCGGGTCTCAATGGTCTTGATCATCACTGTCTTTTTAGTGTGGACTTCAGAACCCCTTTGCTCAGGGCTGGTTTCTGTAATAAACCCACCACATGCTCAGCCTGGCTAAGTTCATATCTAGGCTGTACCATGGATGAGACTCCACCCCGGGCTGCATTGT